AGACTTTTCCAGAAGCTCAACTTCCAACATCCAGCCTACCTCTGGCTTCCCTCCCTCTCATGGAAGGTCACCCCCAACTCCAAGCACCCAAGCTCAGCAGTAACCAGCACCCTATTTTTCCACTCAGGGTCAGAAAGACCCTCCAAAAAGACACCAGCAAATCCTACTCTTTATTTCCCACAGGGTCCTCGGTGTCACTTGGCCCCACTGTCCTCCCTTCCTACTATTAACTCCCACCCTGCCAGCGGACAGGCCGTTTCTGCCTTTCCAAACTCTTACCCACTGCTTTTTCTTTCAGCAGTCAACTTCAAAGACAGCAGGTGCCAGGCAAGACCTCTCCCCACGCCCTTCCTTCCTTCCTTCAGATCTCTGTTCCAGCACAGCCTGCTTTCCCAGCCCATCCTCCGCTGTGAGCCGTCCCCTCTCCTCCAGGGCTTGTCACTCTTGCTGCCTCTACCTAACCAGGCCACTCTGCCCTGGGTCCTGTCTCCTGGACCGGCTGCCTTCACCGTCAAGTCCTCCATCACTGGGTCTAAGCCTGGGTCTCCAGCTCAGTGACAGCCCTTTTTACACCAATCCTCTCCTATTAAAAACTGTAGCAAGGAATTTTGGGGGTCATGGAACTGTTCTATACATATCACAATTGGGGGGAGGGGGTTGGACATCTACAGGCATTTTCCTGCATGCAAAATTTCAAAAAAAAAAAAAAAACAGGAAAGAGGGGCGCCCCAACATGAAAGATTAAGAGCCCCAACTGTAACAGAGACCTAACTGTGTCACAAGTGTGTGACATAACCATGCAGAACAGGGCAGGGAAGGAGAACAAAACTGTGAGTGCAGGTTCTGAGGCCAGAGAAAGGCACCTACTGGACACTGCACAGGCCTCATCTATAATCTTAGCACTGTACCAGCGATAATTTTTAGGTTTGGATACTGTTTTTTGAATACTAATATGTTATAATTATACAAGGTGATCAGAGAAGGTTGCAGAAAGGGTAATGGAAAAATCTTTGTATCATCGCAACTATTCCAAAACTTAAAATTGTTTCAGAATAAAAAATTAAGGGAAGATGCACGCTGTCACATAATAGTACAAACCCACCCAAGGAAATAAAGCAAACGCTGCATAGCTGGAAACACTCCCCAAAGGGTCAGATCCTGTTCTTTGTTCCCCTGTGCCTGCACCCGGCCCCACCACCACCCCACCCTTTCTGGGTGCCCTTGCCAGTCACCCTTTCCTCTCCTGGACCCCACTGCCCTGAGGCCATCTGACCTCCCCCAACCTTCTCCCCTCCCTCTGCATCCCTTTGACTCTGTCATCCACCGTTGCTCAGAGGCAACCTCAGCAGGCCCGCAGCCACAAGGCAGGCAACTGGCACCTCTCCACCTCGCCCTGACTCTATCCTCAGAGTCACCCGATCTGGTTCTAGATTCTACGTGGCTCTCCTAACATTACAAACTTGAACGAAAGCCCTCACATGTTGCCTCCCACCTGTTTTTCTTCCTCCAAGTCCTTATCTGGGAATGAGATTCACCTTCTCTAAGAAAACACGAAAATCGTCAGGCAGCAGGAAATGGAGCCACAAGCTCTGTAGGGTCTTATTTGGCTTTTCACAAACACAAGACTGAAATACGTTTATTAAGGGCTGGATTTTCCAACATGAACAAAATTCTTTCAGGCAGAGTAGTCTCTATTATGCTAATGAGTATTATAAATCTCTGAGAAGAGGGATGCAAGTTTTGATCTAACCACAGATCCTTTTTTTCTGATCCATGAATAAAAATGTCAAAATGATTTCCCAAGAGGCTGCCCCAATTTCTGTCGCTGCCATTATACATTACTTCCTTTAAGCACATCCTGTCCCCAACTTTATAAATATTTATTAGCTAACATCTAAGGTGAGGAAAAGATGCCTTGTTATGTGCCTATTTTTTACATTATTATTACAAAGTTTAAGCTTTTCCCCATATAGTTTGCTTCCTAATTGCAGAAGAAAATCTTGTTCGATGAATGAACGTGTGGAGGGAGACAGTGAATTTGCTATTTTTTTTTTAAATCTTTTTTTTTTTTAATAGTGGCATGTTTTATTTATTTGTTTGTTTGTTTGTTTGTTTGTACATGCACTGGGTACAGTCAGAAGCGCGGGAGGGTGAGAGAATTCACCAGAGCCAGAGCGGGGAGAGCAGAGCAGGCAGAAGGACCGAAGTACACTGCTGAGGGGAGCAGCCGGGGATCAAACCGGCGCCGCAGAGGCTGTGGGCAGCTTCGCAACCCAGCGCTCAACCGTTGTGCCACCGGGGAGGCCCCTGAATTTGCTATTTACCTCTGCAGCTCTGTGAAACAACACTCTTGTCACTTACCTAATAACAAGAACACACACAATCCATCCCGAGTGCCCTAAAATGCATTCATGTCTAGGAACAGACAGTGGCGAAGAATGTCCCAGCCCCAGGACACCCTTCCTGCTCCAATCCAGCACCAACACTCCCTCTGTCAGAAAACTTTCCTAAAAAAAAGTGAGGGTATCGGCATATACCCAGCATCAGGGGAGTGGAACGGGATGGCTGATGCCTAGCTACTTAGAGGGAACTTTGTCATAAATACACAGCACAGGAATGGCCACTGGCTGGAGAACTTGAAGGAATTTTCCTACTTTCATCCCACAACCCAACAACTATATACAACCACAGCCAAGAGACCCGCCTGGCCGAGGAATCGTGGGGAACAATTTGTGGTCAGTAACTTCCTCACTGCAGGGTCTCCAGATTTGAAAGCGAGAAGCTGGTGGGCAGGATGGTCAGGTGGGTGAGGTGACAGTGAGGAGCCAGGGGTGGCAGGTCAGGGGCTCACCTTGTAAACACAACACACACATGCTGAGTGTGTGTCTTCGTTGCGATCAGAACTATGGGCTGACGCAGAAATGACCCACCAGGTCAGGACCTGGGAGGTGGACAGCAGATGTGCCCAGGCCACAGGCGGTGAGACCATCCTCACCTGAGCCCACCTGACCTCCGCATCCCCAAACCACAAATTTATAGGTGCAGCACTTCACAGAGTGCAAAACCTCCTCCTTGCTCCCCACCCCAGCAGTGGCCTCAGCGCTCCCTGTGCCCTAAAGAAACAGTGGGTACTCTCTCCTCCACAGATAAAAATGGAGAGGGGGACATGAGAACTTATAATGAGTGTTTCTTCCTGAATCCTCAACACCCTTAGAAACTATGTTTTCCCCAAGGAAGCCCGAAGAATTACAGCAAATTCTAAGTTTTGAGTCTTAGTGGGGGGGGGGGGAATCCATAATTAACGTGGGGAACAAGAAAAACTAATGTACTGCTCTATCTGTCCTGAGACATGAGTAATGAGAAATACATTCATTTCAGCTTATATTTCACTCCCACTTAACAGCAAGAAACTGCTTCTCAAATAGTGTCTCCCATAAAGGACAAATGCAGGGAAGATGTGAATTTTATATTGTTTCAGTTAATTCACCCCTCACTTAACCCTCTCACTACCCTGGCATTCTGGATCATCTCAGCAGCATCCTAAGCTGGGAATGATTCATGCAAATATCTAGTCCCAAATCTACTTTACTTCACCAGTTTATTTTGCTGTGATATGACTGAATGCCCAAAACTTAATTGAAAAACGTTTTTTAACTATCTCCCTAAGGTCTGTGAATCCATAAGATTCCTGGAAACTGTCACAAAAGATATAAATCACAGACCGAAAGTATCATCAACCCAAATTTGATTTTATTGCAGGATTCCTGTGGCGCGTCAATACTGGAACTCGGACCATATAACGAGACAGCTCAACTCTTCATCTCAGGAATGATGACTTTGTATTGATTTATAAATTCTAGAAATCTGACAGCTTTAAAAACCAAATCCTGGTTGTCTCTGAATAATCCTGTGGAAATACCTGATAGGAAAAAGGAGGAGGTGTGGTCCCACGAGAAGGTGAACACAGCACCTGGCAGAAACCAAAGGATACCCAGCCCCAGGTCTTGCTTTCTAACTCCATTCTCCACTAGCAGCAACCAGGGCTCCTTAGATAAATGGCTGATTCTAAGATTGGGCAGGAAATGCACCAAATGCAAATGCAACCTATAGCAGCTTCTACTGCCAGAAAGTAAGAAAGTGCTGGAGAAAGAAATCTACGTGGACAGGGACATGTCAAAGGGACACAAAAGTCAAGTGAGAGGCGACAATGTCCAAAGCTGGCACAATTTGAATAACAAAGCAGCAAAAATTACAACCTCAAGTGTAACATAAATATCCATAAATCCACATCGGTATAAATGACTGAACAAATAAATGGGAAGAGTAGGAAAATCCCAAATAATTTATGTGGACGCTCCATCTTTAAGGGGGAAGACTAACTTCCTATGCCCAAAACATCTCTTTCAAAGAGGATGGTCTTGGGCCTCCCCCATGGCGCAGTGGTTGAACACTGGGCTGTGAAGCTGCCTGCAGCCTCTGAAGCGCCGGTTCAATCCCCGGCTGGCAGGTGAGGGTCCCACATGGCGCACAGACCTCGCCTGCCGTGCCCGCTGCTCCCCCCAGCAGTGTACTTCGTCAGTCACTCTGGCTCTGGTGAATTCTCTCACCCTTCCCTGCTTCTGACTGTACCCGGTGCTTGAATAAATAAATAAATAAATTTTAAAAAAAAGAAAAGAAATGTTCCAAATAAAAAGCTTTAAAAAAAAAAAACAAAACAAAGAGGATGGTCTTAAAAGGGGAGAGGCAAGGGGAACTTTACAGTGGGGAAGCCTGGCAAACACTACACCCCCACCAGGAGACCAAGGTCACCATCAACAGAGCTAAGGCCATGACTGGCATGTCCTTGGATGGGATGAGAGCAGCACGTTACCCCAGAGACACTTCACCCCAGCCTGAGCAAGAGGAAAACAGCAGATGAACCCCAAATGAGGAATTCCACAAAAGAATGCCCAGTATGTGTCACACCACAAAGGTTCTAAAGCACAAGAGAATTCTGAGAAACTGTCATAGCTCAGAGGCGCCTGAGGATACGGCCAAATGCAGTGAGACATCCTAGGACAGAAAAAAGACATGAGGTAAAAAATAAAGCATCGACTGTAGGTTTTTAAGTGAGTAAGATAAATAACGAATAGTCAGAGTGCAGGAAGGAGTATTAAAATGCAAAGAGGGAGTGGGGTCAGCAGAAGACCCCAAAAGCATAGCACTGCAATGCTTTTACTTCCAAAGAATGTTGGCCAATGGCATTATAAACAACAGATAATGCCTAAGATATTTAAATAACAGCTCTGTATGTCTCCACATATTTAATTTTCCATTTTATCTTAATTTGCCCTTCTTTTTTCACACCCTCCCTCTTAATTTTCATTTTATCCTCTTACCAATAAGCTGCCTCAAGGACAGTCACTGACTCATCAAAATGACTTAGCAACTATTAGATCCAGCGCATTAGAAAAGAACTTCCCAAAGTTCCCATTCTCCTTGCTTTCTGCACACACAGTAAGCCAGGTGATCTTCGCTGCCACAGCCAGCCTGGTCTGTGGCCAGGTACATGATTTACTGTTTCTTTGCCCAGTGGTGGGCAACATGACAAGGAGTCACTCATAATTTACTGTATAAAACAATAGCCTATTAAAAAAATAGTCCTGGGCCTCCCCAGTGGCGCACCAGGTTGAGCGCAGCGCTGTGAAGCTGTCCAAGGCCTCTGCAGCGCCAGTTCGATTCCCGGCCAGCCAGGGAGATTCCCACATGGCACAGCAGACCTCTCCTGTCTGGCCCGCTGCTCCCCTCAGCAGTGTTTTTGCTCTGCCTGCCTGTTCTGCTCCCTGCTCTGTCTCTGGTGAATCCTCTCACCCTCCTGTGCCTCTGGCCTGTACCCCAGTTCTTGTATAAATAAATCAATCTTTAAAAAAAATTAAATTAAATTAAAAAATAGTCCCCTCCTAAGACCTGGCTGTACAGCTTGCATGAAAACAAATCAATGTCTGTCACCCTTCAGGGATCTTCTAACACAGCCCGTGTTTCCTTCTTGCAACATAACTGAGTTTTGCAATTCCAAAAATTGCAAAAAACACTTAAGAGAAACAACTGTTTTCCTTTAAATAAATTATATAGGGTAAAATTTCGCCAAAAGTAAAATCCATATAATCAGTGTAATTAATGGCGCACACACAGGAAAACAAATTAAGGTATACATTTCACCCTTTTTAATTGTGGTAAAATACACATTTCATAACATCATCTTAACTAACACTTAAATTTCACTTGAAGAGACTATAAAATGATAAAAGCAAAAAATCTCCCAGCTATTAACAAAAGAAGGTGAGGGATTAAAAAAAAAATTTAGTTCCGTTGCCCCCAAATACAGCATGAAATTTTCTTAAAAATCTATGGGGAACAGGGCCTCCCCGGTGGCGCAGCGGTTAAGCGCTAGGTTGCGAAGCTGCCCGCAGCCTCTGCGGCGCCGGTTCGATTCCCGGCTGCTCCCCGGCCACTGGAGGAGGGTCCCACATGGCGCGCAGACCTCCCCTGCCGCCCGCTGCTCCCCTCAGCCGTGTACTTCAGTCCTTCTGCCTGCTCTGCTCCCCGCTCTGGCTCTGGTGAATTCTCTCACCCTCCCACGCTTCTGACTGTACCCAGTGCTTGTATAAATAAAAAAAACAAAACAAAAAACAAACAAACAAATAAATAAATAAAAATACATGCCTCTAAAAAAAAAAAAATTAAAAAAAAAAAAATCTATGGGGAACAATGTCTAAATACACACGTTTTCCAGGGTTTAGACTTCAAAAGTCTGATGTTTTCCATATTTTACACAGATATCACAATTCATACATATTCACTAAACACCCACGTGGTGAACACGTGACTCACTTCAGAGAGGGTCAGTTTTGTGGGGGGTTTGTGCCTTTTTCGCCGTTTTCAATCAGATATGTCCAAAATCATTTCAAGTCTTCAACTGAATTCACCATCTACTCTTCAGAATCAGCCTCCCCTTCTTCTACATCATTATTCTCTCAGGTACTCAAACAAAGAACTACACTCATTCTTCCATTCACCAATTCCACCCACTTCCCTTGGCTGTGGATGTTAAGTTTACCCCCTGGTTTGGGACCATCTCTTTTTTCACATTTATACAAACACAAGAACTGCAAAATCCTCTCACTCAGAAGTGCAAATTCTTCTTGCTAAGGGCTTCCCTGGTGGCGCCAGGGTTAAGACACAACCTATGAAGCTGTCCGCAGCCTCGGCAGCACAAGTTCTATTCCCAGCCAGCCAGGGAGCAGCCGACATGGCGCAGCAGACCTCTCCTGACTCGCCCTCTGCTCCCCCTGCAGTATTTGCTGTGGACACTTCTGCTTACTCTGTGCTACCCTTTACCCCAGAGAGCTTCACCTTCCACCTCCCAGACACACACATAACCTCCATTAGCCAAGTATAGTAAGAACCGGACCTTAGCTCTTCTGAAAGAAATACCTCAATTTCCTCATCTCTAAAATGGGAACCACTAAAAAGAACACATCTGAGAGCTGTTATAGAAATGAAAACAAATACATGGAAAGCACCCAAAGCAGAGGCATGAAAATGCTATTTTCTTCTTCTCTGCTTATTTTCCAAATAATAAAATAGAAATGAAAGGAAAACTGAATAAATGTTTTTGGGGACAAGAACATTTAGTGTTTTTGAGGTGATCACGGTTTCATGAGAGGAAAAGAAGAGGAAGAGTTAGTTTGTTATTCACCTCATCTCATCTCAAAATGTGTGGTTCGATTCCCAGCCAGGGAGCTACCCACATGGCGCAGCAGACCTCTCCTGTCTCGCCCGCTGCTTCCCTCAGCAGTGTGTTTCAGTGGATCTGCCTGTTCTGTGCCCCACTCTGTCTCTGGTGAATCCTCTCACCCCCTGCACCTCTGGGGGCTCTCATCCCCCTGTGGCTGGGCCTCCTGTCCTACTCCAGAATCAGGCACTGGGCCTAACCAGGAGAGGCTCCCCTAAAGTTAGACATGGAGAGATATACAGTTCCTCTTAAAAGGCAGCAAAGTTTCAACTCATAAAACAAACATCTCCACGTGTGCTGCTCACTCCCAAGGACCCTCCCCCTTACCTGCACAGTGTCTCCCAGGACCGGCTGCCATTCTGACCTCTCCAACCTTGCCTCGTTTGACCTGCACCTGCAGGCCTCGTGCACACACTGACTGCACAGCACCCCAGATGCCAGACCACACCCCAGATCTGAGCACCACCATCAGCAGCCAGAGCACGACAGGGGTACAGGGAAGGACAAGCCAGGAGGGGCGGGTCCCCGCTCCAAGCCCACACTCTCAGAGAAACTGGCGGAGAACAGGAGCGGAAAACACAAAGCCCAAGTGGGCTGAGAGGCCTCACCAGGCTGCGGGTTCTCTGCATACCCAGTAGCTCTCCAGGAAGGAGGAGCAGGAGGGGAGGCAGCCATGGGGCAGAGGAGCACAGCACAGCCTGGCACGCCAGACACAGGAGTGAGGAGCAGGGACAACGCAGAAGCCTGCAGCCTCTAAGAGGGACTGGGCAGCGGCCCCACACAGGGACCAATAACACTCGCAGCACCAGCCCGAAGTGATGCTCAGATGCGACCCCACTCCCAAGCGCGCCTTCCTCAGCATCCGCACCAGGCCCTGATGCTCGTCTCCTCTCCCTGAGTGGTTTGTCAGTGTCCAAGAGTCCATTTTTCTACATCTGCCCACAGTGATGCCCTCCAGAGAGCAGGTGCTGAGTACAGGCATGATGGGAAGACCCAGCGAGTGACCAAGGAGCACTTCTGTCACACCGCACGTGGCCGCCACTTCCTCCACCCAGAGGACACTACGGGGCCTGGACTCAGGCTGACCTTCCTGCTCCCAGGTCAGCAGCCTTTGGACACATAACTGCAGGAGTCATGGGGACTCGGCGGCTAGTGACCAGGCTCGGCAATTCCCAGCTCCAAAGGACCAAAGTCAGGTCATGTAAAGGGAGTGAGGGGGGGCAGGGGGCGAGCCCCACAGAGAAAAGGTCCCCACGTCTGTCAGAGCACTGCAGTCAGCCAGTGCCCCGGACACACAGACAAGCAGGCAGAACGCTTTCTGCATTTTGCTGTTTTACACAAGGAGAGACCCTCCCGTGAGAGAGTGCTGATGGCAGCGCTCCTCCGGATATCCTACAAAGATGACATTTAAAAGTATTTTTTAGATATATAAATAGCCAGCGAGACAGGAAGGAGACCGTGGCTGCTCAGGCCGGCTGGAAGGAGTGGGAGACAGCTAAGGGCAGGCTCTTCCTGAGGAGATGAAAAGGTCCTGAAGTGACAGGAAAGTCACGCTGTCCGTGACAGGCTGGAAGCCCCTGCCCCGGGCCCTTGGAAGGGAGGGTCTAGGGTGTGTGAACGGCAGCGCAGTCCAGCTGTCACCAAGAACATGGAGGACATGGCAGTAAGAATGGAGTCAGCCAACACGAGAAAGACATCAGTGGAGGCTTGGGAAAGGCAGAGGCCGGCTGGCTCACCGGGGGAGCGGGGAGTCCCAGGCCTCTCCGAAGATGCCCGCCCACAGCGGGATAGCCAGGCGGAGGGACCTTAGAAGGCCCAGCCTGGCAATCAGCAAAGGACACACCCGGCACCTAAGGACGACGTGGGGTGGCACTGAAAATGCGGGCATGGCCATGGGTGTCCAGAGCCCTTGCAGGGTCCCGGGGCATCTGGGACAGCTGGGCAAGGAGAGGAAATTTCTCTGCCTCATCCAAGTTGTGCAGGCTCAGGACCCTGAGCCCGGGGTGGAAAGCCCAGCTTCCGTTTCTCCACCCAAAGGCCGACGGCCACATTCATTCCCCAGTGGCAGAATGGATGGGTTTCCTAACACAGAAACTCTGGAGGCAAGATTCCAGAAGCCGACCTGTGGGACCCTTCAATGAGGAGCCCTGCTCCACCCACAGAGAAGCCACCCCAAAGGGCAGGCCTCACGGGGCAGGCAGAGCTTCCCCAGCTGGTCCTCATGTAAGACAGGGAGCCTCCAAAGTAAGAGGCGGAAACAGTAAAATCAATTTTAAAAAGAGAGAGAGACTACACAGAGTG